TCTGGAGGTAAAGCTCCACGCTTTCTAGACTGCTGTTACGTGAAGGTGACTAAGTCGGCTTCACGCCTCGGTCCTTCAACTCCTGCAAAAATTTTTCCCCCGTCCATTTGTACCTCAGACACTGAATGTGATATTAGTGTCTGTATTTGGCGTTCGTCTAAATTTCTGTGGATTAAAGCTATAGTTAGATAGTATCTGAGTCAAATTTGGCAACGCTAAACTAAAACTTTTAACTCGCTAGTTTGGCGTAGCTGGATTCCAAGTCACGGAGAAGTTAGAAATGCACGTAAAATTTTACTTAATAAGCCTATAGGAAAAAAAAATACCACCTGCGAGATCTACAGTTAAATGAAAATAGATCTTTAGGAAAAAAAAATATGTTGTGACGATGTTGAACTGGATTCATTTGCCTCAGGACATGATCCAGTCTCGGGCTTTTATGTACGCGGTAAAGAAATTTTTGGATTTCTGCGATTTATTGACTGGCTGAGCGACTGACAACTTTTGAAGATGTACCGTCTCTATAGAATTAGATGTGTGTGTGTGTGAGGAGCGTTGATCCCACTTCGATCCCCGTTATCGTACCTTATGATCTCGCACGTGAAAGTAATTAATTACGAGCTGATCGGATGTCCACGTTAACTTGAGCCCCCCATCGATTAGTCTTTTGTTTATCACGATATGCGTCGGCTACCGGTTTTGGATCACGGATGTGGTAAGTGGGCGTTCCCCTTCCAAGAACGACCGCAACTTTGCTGACGAAGGCTTATCCCTGACCGGAACCAGTTCGCGTCTTCACACATAATTGCCGCCGAGATAAACTGCTTATTACTATATCGTAACCAGGTGTTAATATGCTATAGCCTTGGCCTGAGGACCGCTCGTCCCGACTGAAAATTTTTCTGAGTTTTTTTTTTTTTTATCGTTTCCTCCAACTTGCGTCCTTTCGCGTTAATCACACTTTACTCAGGAACGAGTATAATCTTTTACACCTGGCGTGGAGGAATTTATATTGTCTAAATCCAGGTTAAATTATTCCAAGTTTACATTTTTGTTTCTAACTTAGACATCGACAAGCAGCGATTTAATCTGAATAGTCTGTATTAAACAACCATTCGACACTGAATGATCAAAACAGCAGATTGATTGCTGTTAAATAACTCGCGAATCACCATTTTGAAAATTTGTTTCACTGAAAGTCTTCTTTCTGTATAGTGAACTTAGCTCAGTTGAATAAAATTTTTTTTGTATATTATCCATCGTCTAGTAAATATAAAACGTAAAACGACGTTTCGGAGATGGGGCTCTATCTCCGTCTTCAGGTTCCTACACAGTTGGGCCCACTAGATAGAGCGACGTTTCGGAGATGGGACTCTATCTCCGTCTTCAGGTTCCTACACAGTTTTTTTTTTTTCCTTGGATATTATCCATCGTCTAGTAAATATAAAACGTAAAACGACGTTTAGGAGATGGGATTAGCTCTATCTAGTGGGCCCAACTGTGTAGGAACCTGAAGACGGAGATAGAGTCCCATCTCCGAAACGTCGTTTTACGTTTTATATTTACTAGACGATGGATAATATCCGAGAAAATTTTTATTCAATCGACTCTTCACCATCGTCAAGAAGTTTTAGATTTGATAAACTTAGCTCAGATTGATTCGTTCATATTATGTTTCGATTCATTTCAAATGTACGCCTTCGAAGACGTTTTCCCACCAAAGCTACAAAGGTATTTCCGTTTTATTGTAAACACATGATTACTGAAAAGCGGCGCGCAATCATTATTCACTTGTCACCGCCCCCTTCAAGAACACATTCGTTATCTGTGTATTTAGCTTCGGAAACTGGAAGTGGGTTTCATAAAAGATTGGGGATTAACCTCTCAAGAAGGGCTGGGCTGAGTTCCGTACAGTTATTTCTGCTGAAAACCACTCTTAATGGTAATACCTCCAACGTCACGACCTAGTAATTTGCCATCCCTGAGTCCCCGCTTCAAAACTTTCTATCCTGACTTGAGGCATTTTTTTTTGTGATTTTCCTCAGTCCTCCCAGATTAAATGCCGAGATGGTACATTAAATTACATCCCATGATCGATTTCTTCAGTATCCTTCCAAATTCAGTATTTATCAGTCAACCTATCATTCGACATTGACGTTAAATAAAGCATTACTTTCTAGTTCTGGATTTTTAAGGCTCCTGACAGACAGATATTTTATTCTTGTATCCAGAAGCCCATGTAAAATAATACTTAAGAATAAGGCTTTATATCTAAATATATTTATTTATTAATATTTATGTTTTACGTGTGAAATCGACCGGAGGATAAACAATTCTTAATTTCAAGATCGTCAAAATTCCGCTAACTTAATGTGTTCTTTAACGTCGTGAATTTTGGTGTCAGAGATAACGATAAAAATATATTTTGGATGTTACAAAATATAAACGGAACCTTTCTTTATCTTCGAAGGTGGCTGTCTTCTGTGATGTTTCGCCCTGTGGTCTGTGAGAAGACAGCCATCTTCATAATTCGTCTCCGTGAGAACCTTAAATCTCAAGTTATTTTTTGTTCATAACACTGTCGTAAAGTCTTGCAAAAAAGGACAGAACCAAGTTTCGAACCCATATCCTCATAAAATATTCGCTGTTAGATAAATGTTTAACGTCGTATTTACACTGCAGCGGACCGTAAGTGACGCATTGCAGCTCAGAGCTGGTCCCACCCCCAAGGCGTGTGAGAAAATCCAGTTGAAATTAATAATTTTAAATGATGTTTAGTTATCATCAAGTTTACTTTATGGGGTTTTTTTTGTTATAAATCTGATGCGATGACGTTTGGCAATAACCATTTCCGTTTGAGCACACATGCAGTCGTAGAATGATTAATTAACCTAACCTAACCTGTAATGAACTTGTAAGTGGTTTGCTTTTTGTAATTTTAAGTCTTTACTGTACTTTTTATGTGGTTGGTTTGTGGGTTGTTGAATAGAATGGCTTGTAGGCGGCGTACAAAAACTGGCCGCGTATTTAAGAGTGTCTGGTGAGTGTAACGAAGTTTCGAACTCCCGTTCTTTTGTATGAAGTGTAAGAAAATTATACGTGATTGCCAGGACTTTTTAAAAAAAAAATTCTTCTGTCCAGAAACAAAAATGGAAACGTGACTCGTGGGTTGACCACTGAGTCACGTAAGCCTAAAAGAATGACACTAGATAAAAGTGTTCAGTATTCGTAAACTTTCCTTATTATGAGTCAGGAACACTTTTAACTTACCTGATAGAAGAGGCTTTTAACAAGGGTATGACCACTCACTTTTATTTTTCGACTAAACGTATCAAGAAAAGCGTTTTTAAAATCGTCTTAATTGACTTTTCGCGAGGTTGTTTGCACTATCGAGCAAGATAAAGACCTTGTGTACTTTATAGAAACGAGTTTTTGTAAAAATTGTTGTACTTTGGAGCAAGAAACGTGGCTTCGGAACTGACCACGACGACGACGACGTCTGTGTTTACCTGGTAGCAGAGCGCCGAGAAGTATTGTCCACGCGAGAAGGCGCTCCATTCCCTGGCAATTGTCGCGAGTTGACTGATCGCCCGCGAGTCGCTGCCAGCGTTTTAAGCCCGTGCAGAAGGATACTTACTACTACCTTTGATTCCTCCTTTGTTGTGTGACGTCATGTACAAGGTCGTGGCAATGACGTCGGAACCAGATTGCTAAGGGTGCACCACAAAACGGAATTAA